TTTATTCAAAAAGATAGAAATGGAGGGAGAACTTCCAAATTCCTTCTATGAAGCCAGCATCACTCTCATACCAAAGCCTGGTAAAGATACAACCAAAAAAGAAAACTATAGACCCATATCCTTAATGAACATAGATGCAAAAATTCTCAACAAGATACTTGCAAACCGCATATAGACACACAGCAAAAAGATCATCCACCATGATCAAGTCATCTTTATCCCGGAGATGCAGGGATGGTTCAACATATGTAAGTCAATAAATATCATAAATCATATAAATGGGCTCAAAAAGAAGAACCACATGGTCATCTCAATAGATGCACAAAAAGGCCTTTGACAAAATTCAACATGCAGTTATGTTCAAAGTCCTAGAGGGAATTGGACTGGAGGGAACATACCTCAACATAATTAAAACCATATATAACAAACCCACAGCCATCATCATTCTCAATAGAGAAAAACTGGAAGCATTCCCATTGAAATCAGGAACCAGACAAGGCTGTCCACTATCTCCACTGCTCTTTCACATAGTGCTTGAAACACTTGCAAGAGCAATAACACAAGAGCAGAAAATTAAAGGAGTAATAATTGGAGAAGAAGAGATCAAATTATCCCTTTTTGCAGATGATATGATAATTTATCTAAGGGACGCCAAAAATTCCACACGCAAACTCCTAGAAATTATTAACACATTCAGTAAAGTGGCAGGTTACAAAGTTAACCTACAAAAGTCTATAGCCTTTCTATATACCAATGACAAGCAGTCAGAGAAAGAGCACAGGGAAACCCTCCCATTCACAATAGCCACAAAAAAAATAAAATACCTTGGAATAAACCTGACCAAAGACATTAAAGAGCTCTACAAAGAAAATTTTAACTCTTTAAAGAAAGAAATTGAGGAAGACATCAGAAGATGGAAGGACCTCCCATGCTCATGGATTGGAAGAATTAATATTGTGAAAATGACCATCCTACCAAGAGTCATATATAGATTCAATGCAAT